GGTATGTACAGGCATGCGGCATGCTAGTTATCACATGCATGCGCCAGTCCAAAGTACCGGTAGGGCGTGCGTCTGTACAGGCATGCTGTGTTGTGCTAATTTAACACCATAGCATGTTGTGTTGCTAGAAAAACAGCGCCTTCTCCGGACAGAAGCGCGTTCTCAGGTTCCCTGTCGGCCCTTTTCGGTGAACTTATGTACTTAAAGATGAACCAGCAGGTCCGCAGCTCCCATTGCGTGCGAGAAAGAAGAGAAGCTACTCAAAAGGGGAACCCAGGGAGAGAGCCACAACTTTACCTGTTGTTTTGGACATGGAAATGGTCCACCCGCCTGTCAACCAGGTTCGAAACCCCAAGTTGACACAGTTTTTGGAGGATGCAGAGCCACAACTGAGAATGGCGCAAGTAGGAGTCGCTTTGCACACTGCAGGACCTACGTGACAGAAAGCGCCTCGGCGAGAATTTGGGACGCGTTTTTATTTTTGGGTTCAATCGCATGAGCCTCCATTTGGGCTGAACTTAGGGAGCAATTTCTGGATTTTGTGTCTTTGCTGGTGACCATGGTGTTGCAACATGAAGAAACCAACATGGGCAAATCCATGGCGAAGGAGTTCAACCTGACGACTCAAAATCATGGCGAAATCCAGCCTGTCTTGGACGGCCCGATATCCAAGCTCTGTGGGGGAGCACACGCTTGTGGACATCACAATTCGCCTGAGGCTTGTCTTTCTTTTGATTTTTTCGGATTTCTTGGGCTGGACATTGTTGTGGCTTGAATTTTCGGTCGCGTTGTCTTCGTTGCAGTCGCGGAAGTGTGTGCGGCAGGGCTCTTTTAAGTCTTTGCATGGTTCTGGGTAGACCATTTGAGTACCAGGTTTTAATTATGACTCACCTGCCCACTTCCTTCCGTGAATGGTGGAATGAGGGTACCTGCAAAGGGCCGCAACGGAGTCGGTGTCGAACTTCTTTTTCCAGTGTCGCTGAATCCAAGGAAGGTGGCTGGCTGCTTGCGGGATGTGATGGGATGGATGCAGTCGCACCCAGGCGTGTCGATTTGGGCTTGGTTGGGCTTATCAAGGCCACATGAGCAGGGTTTAAGCCCCCAAAAGAGTTTGTTGTCTAGTACCTGGTTTAATTGGGATAATTAAGGCCCACATAAATACCCACGTTGGTACCACAAGTCAATAGGTTTTGGTCGCTCGAGGACTTTCTCAGCAGGGGAATGAGAGTTGGAATGATCCCCTGGGGCTTCCTTGAAAGGTCACCAGCAAGTTTTGTTGGTTGTTGCTATTCAATTTCGGATTCCGTATTGGAAACCGTACGGATGCTGCACCCTGCGACCCTTCTTGTTTCCGTGCAAAACTTGATCACCTGTAAGAGTATCTCTTCTTGGTAGACCCAGAAATCTTGATACCCCCCCCCCCCCCCCGGTACATCTTTACAATCACCCTGAGCCCAGGGTTGCTCCGAATTCTATAAGAATGAGTAAACCACAGGGGTAGAACCAATGGTGTTGGGTCCTTTATCTTTCCTTCTCCAGGAGCCAAGTTGCTTGTAAAAGGGTCAAATGGGAGCAACTCTGCAAAACAGAAATCACGGGTAACTCGTGTCTGGTAGCTGGGTATATGCAACCACCAAGCATCAGACCTTCAACGTCACCCAAATGCACAAAGAGACCAACATCCTTTGGGTAGAGTCGCACACGTCAAATGGGTGTGTCAAATGGCAAAACAGCCCGAAAAACGGGACCAGCTCGGAAAAATGACGCACGCCTAGACAGACACAGACGCAAGCTAGGTTGTTGTCGGGGCGCAGAAGGGCCAGCAAACCCGCTCCAGGCGCAGCAAACCTACGGCCTGCGGCCGGTGACCTGCTGGAGAAGCTTTGCGCCTGCGAGGCGCGGTTGGTTTTCCATGCGGAGATGGGACCTGGTCATGGGTGACACTGGCCCCCATAGGCGCTCATTTCATCGGTTTGGGAAGAAATCGATGGGTTCCACCGGTTTAGATGGGTGTAATGCCCCTTTTTCCAGGGCCACCCATTTGTTGTTCCAGTTTAGGTCACCTACGGCCCAAGGCCCATTCGGTTATCGTGGCATTTGTGTTGCTCGGCTTGGTTGGCAAACCGCCTTCTCAAGTGTTCCGACGGTCTTTCACCGAATTCCTTCCACTTGACCTGTGACCATGTCGCGGACACGCCCTTTGCATTGCAGTGGAGCCGCTTTGCGGGCTCTCGCATCATCCGACCTTGCTTGGCTATCGTAGCTGGATGCTTGGAGATAGGGGACATGTCAAACCCTTGACGAAAGAAAAGGTCATTCCCAGGGGAACTTTTCGACCTGCCAAAAAAGCGCGTGTTTAGGGTAGAAGAGAGTTGAGCGCCCTTTTGAATTGGCGAGTTGAGAGAAAAAACAAAAAAAACACAAACACCCCTATGAGCTCTGGTTTTTCCATGGGAGTTCTTGGGAGCCTGAGTAAGGTCCCTTGGCAATGGGGGAGAAATCAGCGGCATGGATTGGAGGGGGCATCCCGCCCCATTCTGTCCCGAGTCCGCTACATCTCCAAGCCCTTTGAAGGTCTTGTCTTGTTGCTCACAACAGTAGCAGCGATTTGAAAGCCAATCAAAAACGCGGCCACCGAAGAATCCCTAGGATCAGAAATGGTTGGAACTTTCCGGCAGATCACTTCATCAAGCTGAAGTTAGGTTCCCAGAAAGGCTGTGTCATGACTTCATTGTTCGATCACCAAAGCCCTCTGTGAAAATAGTAGAACGAACCCGACTTTGAATGTTTGAATAACAAGGTTTTCAGTTTTTCTGTGAACTTACCAGACAAGCCACGGTTGTTGGGGCCTTCCCCGCCCCCCGCCCCCCCATCCTTAGTTTTTTTGTTCATTTTTTTTGTGTGTGCTTTATTGCTTTGTGAATCAAATGATAAGTATTCTTAGAACATATATCTATTTATCAGATTCTCAGCTGCCCGGTTTCCCCCGACGGCCGCGGGTAGAAACGGACACCCCAGCGACCGCCGCTGAGGCCAAGGAGCCGGAGCCGAGCTTGGACGCTCGGCCAAAGTTCGTTGGCATTGGACGAGTTGGGCGCATGCTGGGGATGGGGGGGCAATCCATTTCGCAGATTCTCCTGTAAATACCAGCAAACAACGGTCTCTCATGGATTCAAAGTGATGCAGGTATGGCCTCCCTCTTGGCTCCTCTGAAATACTATTGGACGCAATCCATTTCGCACCACCGTTCAGACACCCTGGAATGATTTGATTCCCCTGTAGATGCCAGCAAGCAATTGGGCAGTCATGGATTCAAAGTGGTGCAGGATTTCGTGCATCCACAGCATGGCTTATCTTACTACAAAACAACCAGCAAACGAGCAAAGAGGTTTCCACTAGCCAGATACTGGTGTGTTTTTGTATTTGTCCTTGCGGGTTTGTTTTTTTCTACGAATCGGACCCCCATTATTTGCTTCGGTTTGCAGTTTGGTTTCTCTTCACACCGGTATCCTCAAAAAGGGACCTCTGTGGATGGTTCCAGAATTTGTTCTCAGGCACTACCGATCAGAAACACAACGGAAGGAATCGATCATTGTAAATACCAAGAACCAATGCTTTCAACCGTGGTTTCGACTCGGTGCAGGATTTCGTGCATCCACAGTAGGTGTCCTTTTTGCTTGGTGGAAAAAGGATGGCGATTCCTTTTTGACCTGGCTGTTAATCTACCAGGGCCATCTATTTTCCCAAACGGACACCTATGGTTGTTGGTAACCGTTCAGTTGTGACCCGCAGTTTAAGTCGGTGAATGTGGGGTTAGCAACCAGGGTGAGCGCCCCAAGTGGCGATGCCGACTGAACAGGCGCTAAAGCGAGCGCCATACACTTTCATCATTCACCCCAAAGTTCCGGATGGTGAGTCTAATGATCTGATCATGAGTCCCATATTACAACTTAGGGGTAAAATTATTGTGTTTCTGAGTGTTCACCCAGATCTTGTTCCGCCCAAAGTTTGAGAGATATCAGCCGCTGCAGCCTTGTCTCCGAGAAACACAGCCACCCGGCGACCGTTGAGTTTTTCCCCGTTCGTATGGATGCGTTTTTGCTTTCTGGTTACCTACTGCGGATGGACAAAATCCATTTCGCACCACTTTGAAGCCAGGTTGAAACCAGAACGTTTGCTGGCCCTTACAGGGGCATCACCATTCCAGTGTCTCCCAGGTGGTGCAGGATTTCGTCCATCCACAGTACCAGGATGGGAATTTGAGGCACCGGGTTTGAAGCAGGGCCTCCGTGCGCCCCCAGGATCTGGCGGATTTGCTCCTCACCTGGGCGGAGTTGATGGCAGACGAGCAGGACACCACGTCAGTGGCTGCTCGTAGTGTTGCTCACTCGGTGTGGTCCTGGACTTTAGTCACTTTTTGGGAAGAGCATTGAAACGGTAAACAACAAGTGTGCTCAGGAAGCGAGGTAAAGCTTACTTTTCCATTCTTTTTTTCCCCAAATAGTGTTTACACTAAGGGGTTCTTACGGTAAGAGTTAAGGCCTGGTGTAGATCGAGGTGTCGGCTCAAATTGCTGGCCCTGTGCGTCTCGCTGTGGTGCCGTTCGCACTTTTCAGCTTTTGCTGGCAGGGGCAACAGTTGGGAGGTGCGGGCTGCGACGCGGGGTGTGTTTTTGAGGAAGCCTCGTGCCAAACGCGTTTTTTTGAGACCAAAGTGCGTTTTTTGATGGCAGGGCCGCCACGCGGTGATATCTTCTTGTCGGGTCAGGCTACCACGCTTGGACAATCGAAGCTCTAAAGCCATGGCAGTTGTTGCAAAAAGTTGTCTCGCGTGCGACAGCTTCGCACGAAACGGACCTTTCTTCAAAACTGCGCTCTCGCAGTGGCGCCGCGCCGATCTTCAGATTTGTGTGTTGCCGCAGAATTCCATGGCCAGCGCAGCATTCTGTGAGACTGCCGTGCATTTTTCGTGGTGGGCGCAGCATGTTTTGCGCTGATGCAAATGATGCGTGGCAGGCGCAGCATTTTCGGAGACAGGCTCTGTGAATTTCGTGGCAGGCGCAGCGTTTCGCTCATTTGCAAGCGTTGCAAGACGAAAGTGAACCCTTTGCGGAGATCGTGCGTGTCGAAGCGCTCTCGCTGTGGCGCCGTGCGAACTTGTCTTGAGCTCGGCGAACCCTCTGCGGAGATCGTGCGTGTCGAAGCGCTCTCGCTGTGGCGCCGTGCGAATGTGTCTTGAGCTCGGCGAACCCTCTGCGGAGATTGTGCGTGTCGAAGCGCTCTCGCTGTGGCGCCAAGCGAATGTGTCTTCAGCTCGGCGACTCTCGCTGTGGCGCGGTGCGAATGTGTCTCGAGCTCGGCGAACCCTCTGCGGAGATCGTGCGTGTCGAAGCGCTCTCGCTGTGGCGCCGCGCGAATGTGTTTTGCACTCGGCGAACCCTCTGCGGAGATCGTTCGTGTCGAAGCGCTCTCGCTGTGGCGGCGTGCGAATTTGTCTTGAGCTCGGCGAGCCCTCTGTGGAAATCGTGCGTGTCGAAGCGCTCTCGCTGTGGCGCCGTGCGAGTTTCGCTTGAGCTCAGCGAACCTTCTGCGGAGATCGTGCGTGTCGAAGCGCTCATGCTGTGGCGCCGTGCGAATTTGTCTTGAGCTCGGCGAACCCTCTGCGGAGATCGTGCGTGTCGAAGCGCTCTCGCGGTGGCGCCGTGCGCATTTGGCTTGAGCTCGGCGAACCCTCTGCGGAGATCGTGCGTGTCGAAGCGCTTTCGTTGTGGCGCCGTGCGAATGTGTCTTGAGCTCGGCGAACCCTCTGCGGAGATTGTGCGTGTCGAAGCGCTCTCGCTGTGGCGCCGTGGCGCCGTGCGAATGTGTCTTGAGCTCGGCAAACCCTCTGCGGAGATCGTGCGTGTCGAAGCGCTCTCGCTGTGGCATTGTGCGAGGTGCGACGTGCTCTCCCGCATCTCCGGCTGCGCAGGCAACGTTTACGTACAAAGCTGGCGCGCAAAGCCCCACATCTGCGGCTCGAAATTCGCAACTTCTAGGTGCAAAAAGTAGTGCGGGAAGAGCGTTCCCGCAGCTCCGGCTGTAAAATCGCGCTTTTTATGTACAAAAGTAGTACGCGAAGAGCACTCCGGAGCTCCGGCTGCAAAATCGCAATTTTTAAGTTCAAAAGTAGTACGCGAAGCGCACTCCCGCAGCTCCGGCTCGAAATTCGCAACTTCTAGGTACAAAAGTAGTTTGCGGAGGATATTCCCTCAACTCGCAAGTTTTAATTACAAAAGTAGTACGCGAAGAGCGCCCCAGAGCTGGCTTGCAAAATCGCAATTTTAAGTAGAGTAATACTGGAAGTGCACTCCCGCCGCTCCAGCTTGAAATTTGAGAACCGCAACTTTTCAGCGCAGAAGTGGTGCACGAAGTGCGCTCCCGCAGCTCCAGCTCGAAATTGGCGGGTTTTTTGGTGCAAAAGTCCTACGCGAAGTGCGCCCGGAGCTCCAGCTGCAAAGTTGCAACTTTGTATGAGTGTACGGAGTGCGTTCCCATGGCACGAGGCTCGCAACTCTTAAGTCCAAAGTTGTACATAAAGTGCATTCCCGCAGCTCCGGCTGCAAAATCGTAAATGGCAACGTGCGCGCGAAGCGCGCTCGCGCAGCTCCAGGTAGTATGCGAAGTACACTTCCGCAGCTAAAATTGCCAGCCTTCTTGCGCAGCCAAGCTGCTCACAGATATGGACAAGAGAGTTTTTCAACAGAGGACATGAAAGATTTGGCAAGAGAGGTTGCAGAACATCATGCGCAGCATGATGCGCTGCATCGCGCGCAGCGTCATGCGACATCGCGCGCAACATCACGCGCAACATCACGCACAGCTTCGCGCGCAACATCAAGCCACAGCATCACGCGCGCGAGAAGTTGACAGGAGAGATTGTGAAGCATGATGCTAAGCTTGCTCATCAGAATCTACGCTTGAGCAGGGGCACCGACGTGTTTACGATCTCATCAGGTGGGAGAGGCGTCAGTGTTTACGTAACGTTTTTCTATGCTTCTGGGCCACCTGTCGTCAAGTTGGACGCAATACTATTTGGGGTCTCTTGCCGGGATAATTTTTAATTTGGGGGGGGAGCCCCTACGCTAAAGCAGAACATGGGGACGTAAGTGGGCCGGACCGCAAAAAAATGCGGGTCTGGCGGGCACATGAATGTAGTGCGTGACTCAATGTGCGTTTTTTGGGGCGGCCCCCCTCCCCCCAAAGAAAAATGAGACATGTTCTGGCTTTCCTCTCGGTTTTCCCTTCAACAGACCCCCAAAACAAAGAAATTGCGGGTTTTAACTCTTAGTTTCCCTTTAACAAAGCACAAAAACGCCTTGGGTCGTTGCTTGGATTGGGCGCCGACCCAACCGACCGAACCGGGCCGCGTTTTGTGTTTTTTCTCGGAGGAGCTGCGCGGCTCGGAGCACCCGGGGCTGCGGGGCTTCGAGACCCTGGCGGGCCCCAAGCTCATGCAGAGGCGCGCGCGCTTTGCCCGCGCGCGCGCGCCCGAATTGCGCGGGGAGCTCGGGCGGGGGAATTTCGGGGGGGGGGGGGAAAGGTAAGAGGGAAGAATTGGGCCTATGTGCCGCCCAAGGCCCTGAATAATAGTTTCCCGGGTTCTCCTTGGGCCAGTTCCAGGATATTTGAAAAAATAATCAAATCAAATAATTTAAACTCTCAAATAATTTCAATATTTTTATTTTTTCTAATTTCTGGAGGCCTCCATTTTGTTTTAAAAAATATAAATAGTTTCCCGGGTTCTCCGTGGGCCAGTTCCAGGACATTTTTTTTAAATCAACTAATTATATATATAACACATAAATAAATAAAATCTGGAGGCCTCCAAAAATCTAAAAATATATATTTAAAAAATACAAATAGTTTCTCAGGATATTTAAACAAATAATAAAAAATCAAATAATATAAATAGTTCATTTCTTTTTTAATTTCTGGAGGCCTCCAAACATTTTTAAAAAATATAAATAGTTTCCTGGGTTCTCTCTGGGCCAGTTCCAGGATATTTGGAAAAACATATCAAATAATTTAAATCATTCAACTAATTTAAATATTATATTTTTGTTTTTTTTGAATTTCCGGAGGCCTCCAAAAACTTAATAGTTTAAAGCAAAACAATATATAAATAGTTTCCCGGGTTCTCTCTGGGCCAGTTCCATAATATTTAAAAATGTTTTATAAAGTAAAATAATTTCAAGTAATTCATTTTTTTTAATTTCTGGAGGCCTCCAAAATTTTGAAAAATCAAAATAATATAAATAGTTTCCCGGGTTCTCTCTGGGCCAGTTCCAGGATATTGAAAAAACACAATATTTTTTTAATTCAAATAATATAAATATTTTTTTCATTTTTCAAATTTCTGGAAGCCTCCAAAAATTTTAAAAAAGTCAAACGAATATAAATAGTTTCCTGGGTTCTCTCTGGGCCAGTTCCTGAATATTACAAAAAACATAATTTAAATAATTCAATTAATTGAATTTTTTATATTAAAAAATGGAGGCCTCCAGAAATTCAAAAAATAAAGAAAATAACCATATAAATATCTAGTTTCTTTAAATATTCAGGAACTGGCCCAGAGAGAACCCGGGAACCTATTTATATTTTTAATACACAATGGAGGCCTCCAGATTTTTTTAAAATATCTTGGAACTGGCGCAGGGAGAACCCCGGAAACTATTTTTGTAAAAACATTGGAAGGCCTCCAGAATTTTTTTAAAATAAGTATATATATATATATTTCAATTATTTGAATCATGTTTTGCTTTAAATATCCTGGAACTGGCCCAAGGAGAACCCGGGAAACCGTTTTTTTGGATTTTTCATTTTTTTGGAGGCCTCCAGAAATTTAAAGAATATATTTATTAAATATAAAGACATTGTTGTTGTTTTTTTTAAAAATATTCAATTTATTCATGTTTTTCAACTTTTCCAATATCCTGGAACTGGCCCAGGGAGAACCCGGGATATTACTCAAAAAACAAAAAAATGGAGGCCTCCAGAAAGTTAAGAAATTTTAATAAATATATGCTTATTGGTGTGCTTGTTATTTTTTCAAACTTGCTGAATATCCGGGAACTGGCCAGGGACAGCTTTTTTTTTAGAAGCCTCTACAAATTTAAGAACAAATAACAAACAAATAGGTTTTTGGAAAATACAACAACAAACAAAGTTTAGCAATTGATTTGGGTAGATTTGCGGGTGATTGGGGGGAGCTCGTTGGCTGGCAAACTTTGCGAGTGATTCAGGTGGCGGGGTGATATTCGGGGTGGAGGGGTGGGTGGGTGGGGTGGCGCCGCTGGCGCTGCTGGCGCTGGAGCTGCCACTGCCACGCTGCCGGTGCCACTGGAGCACCTTGCTGGCACTAGGCTGTTGGCATTGTGGATCAATTAAGTGCAATATGGGATAGGAACCCCCCCAAAATCAGTTAGGGTCAGAACAGTGGTTGAGATCACACTGCTTGGAACATTGGAAAATGAGGTTGGTGCACATGGCAGGTATGGGGTTGGAGAATGAGGTGGGCACCTAACCATTCAACATGATTGCTAGGTAACTGCAAGTGAACCCTGAAGGCAATCAATTCAATTCAATGCTTTCCAACAGCAATTCATTAGTAATTCCAAAGACCTGCTTTTTGTTGCATGTGCTTCCTTGTTGTACATCACGTCATGCATCCAATGTGATCCTTTGTTTGGCCACCCACCCATGCCAACATTAAGGCAAGTGCTGCTGGGGCTTGCCAGTGCAGGCAGGGACTATTGTGGGAGGGCCAATTCCTTCTATGAATCCTCATGTACATTTGTCCTATGCAATGGGTGAGTGAAAAGTGGTCTTGCTGTCTTGCCTTAGGTTGAACCGAACCACTATGAAATTGGTTCATCCCCATGATTGTTTAGAGGCTGCAATGTCGCCTGGTTGTCACCGAGGGCAGTGTTGATGGGTTGGGTCTGGTTATATCAATTGTGTGGGATGAAATGCATTGGCTTTGAGTTGTCCTACCAACAGTCTCAGTTCTCAACAACCGCAATTTTAGGATTTCAGGGTGGCCATAGATCCCTAACCTAGCTTCAAATTACATACATCAAGTTACCTCAGTTTGTCAAATTGCTGTGGGCATTTAGCGATTGAAGTATGGATTTGCCTGTGCAAGCGCCTTCATTGAAACCCCCCTAGCTGGTCCTGAATCTTATAATTTATCAATCAATCTGTCAACCTGCCGGCTTTCAACAGCCATTTTGGCTTGACTTAGAGCAACAAGGGGCTGCATCTTGGTCGGGATGGACCTGCCCTCTGATGATGAAGGGCCCACCATCGCCGTGTCACATGACTTGCAGGCTATTACCCATCAAGCGCTTCAAGCAGGTGAGTTGGCCACCCCTATGCGCAGGGAAGTGACTGCGAAACGGCTGGCTGATCTTGTGTGCCTGGGCATCATTGAGTTGATTTTCAATTCCTCATCTGATGTATATCATGATTGATGTTTAGTTTTGCGTTCAAGACCCGTTGGTGAACTGCCCCATATTTCACAACTCTGGGGATATCTTCCTAGCCCCTCCCTAGCAAGGAGCCCGGCAGAGAAGCCTGCGCTCTGCTGCAAGAAGCAGTGTGTCCACACTTTCCGTTCCAACATCGAACGGGTGCAAAGCTTGGAGGTGTCTCATTTATGCAACAGTACTATTTTGTTGGATGCATTGACATGATTACTATGATTTGTCAGTGTTAAGCTTGTCCTTAAGCTGGTCAATATGTCAAGTGACCAACCCAGAACATCCGGAAGAAGTTGGCGGAGCTCACACGCACTGACATGAACCGCTTCTTGCTTGGCCTTCTGGGCAAGATGAATGTCAAGCATGACACCGTTCCTTACCTTATGTGCGAAGCAGTTTTTGTGCTGTTGTGTATTGATGATTGCGACTCAACAAAGTCCATTCAACCCAGTGAGCCTTATATAGTTTTGCAGTCAGTGGCTAGGCAGCTGGGCCTGTGCTGGACTTTGTGGTCTGCTCCCACCCTGTCTGCGAGACTGGCTTCTGTGTGCTTTTGGGAGTCAATGAGAAGCGGGCTCCTGGTTTGCAAGGAGAAAGGTCTTTGGGGACATTGTTGAAAAAATGTATTTTGGAAGTGTGTGTCACTGGTCAACAGTAACCAGTAACACTCTAAAAGGTTGCTGCTGGTCATTTAGGCCTGTGGGAATGTGTGCTCACTTTTGGCAAGGTAAAGCGGTTGGTGCTGGCGCGTGAAACAAATTGCTTGCCCACGGACATGCGGAAATACAACGGGCGGCAGCCTAGCAAGACCACATCGGTGGATGCATTTATGACATACTACTATTGGAATGTGGTGCCTTTGACTGTGAGAGCAGCATTGATTTTATCTTTCCTATTTATTTCATGGGATTGAATGCCTGAAAGGGGTGATGCCTACTCATTGAGATGTAAGCCTCAGACTCCAACCCTAAGGCGGAACCCCTTGCAGAGACGCCGCCCCTGGAAGAGATGAAAGGAGCTGCCCTGTGCACTTCAGGTCTCTTTCTACCTGGCTACTAGGGCTGCAAATAGATCAGTTTTCAACATTGTCATTGTTGTTAATAATTCCCTTCTCTGCCCCCCTCCTCCATTGATCTCAATGCCTCTGAGGTGAGGTTCCTTCGGAGATGCCCTTGTCTCTCCTTGGTGGCGAGGAGGTGCACAATGCTGCTAGCTTGGCCCCCAACAATGTGGTGGCTGCTACTGAACTGGTGGGGGTGAAATCCAAGACCGACACCGAGAAGAAAAGCTACCAAATAGCAAGTAGTTATTGTGTAACATGAATAGTATCATTGTGTGATAATATTTGTGTAGATGCTTTAGATGCTGCAATTTATTTTTCATTCTGGGGGCAAGTGGTGCTGGAGGCTTGCAGCCCCGCCACATCAACCACATGACCATGGAGGCATGGTGTGAGATCTACAAGATGTGGGCTGATGGCAGTGCCCTGCCTGAAGATGAGATTGCAAAGGTCCGCACTTTCTCCACCACCTATGAGTCCATTTGGAAGCCCATCTTGCAGATGAGGACTGTCTCCCAACATGCCAGGCCATGTATTTATTTTTTTGATTCTGGATTATTTCCATAATTTGGGTCTTGTCCCTTCTTTGGCAACCCAGACCCCAGACCAGCACTTTTATTACATTCAAAGGGCGCTGGTCCAACTGAATCAGAAACTGAATAACGGCGCCCAAACCCTGAAGGTGCACACTTTGTGCAGAGTTCACCGCAAGGTGTCGCAAAGAATGCTTTCAGCACCTTCGTGCTCAGATTGAGCGTGCTCAAACTGAGCACCTGAAGAACGTTCGCCAATACTGACAAATCCAGTCGAGGCTAAACTGTTTGTCGGAAATGGCAACAAGTGGGGATGGTGCAGATGAGGCGGCGTCGATTCTCAAGCTGGACCTGGATGGACTGGACCAGAATAAGACAAGGTACC